TACACACACTATCATTCTCTTTTGCTCAAAAACAAAACAAGAAACCTAAAGAAAAGGGTAAACGTTTATTTGGAGTTAGTTTCTGGTGGGTGCTGGTAAGGCCCATCAAGCAGAGTTCAGGAGCTCCTGGATGGCTCCCTGCTGCTCGGGACTGAGCTGTCCTATGCACTCAGTCCACAGTCCTCCAGAAGTCTAGGAGAAAACACATTTTCATAGTTTAGAGGGGGTGAAATGTTTCACACGGTTATGCTTTCTTAATCATTACAGGTGAATGATAATGCCAAAATATGTTTTACGGTAGATGGGCTTGATGAATTATGGTAAAAACCAAGAAATCTGCCCAATAAATTTCTTTTCACTTTTGAATGAACAGTGTATTACACCAGGCAGAAGATATATTAAAGCCACAAAAAGTCATGTAAGCCCACTGCTACTGAGCACATTTAGACTCACAGAAACCCTGCAGTGCACAGCGTGGGACTGTCCCACAGGGTGTCCAGACACGAGCCCACTGCCACATTTCTTCCTCCAGAGTGGCTGCTGGGTTCACACCAACCTTTCAGCCAACACGTAAATGCTAAAACACTGCATCACCAGGGATTATAAACTTAGAAAACATCTTTTTGACTGTGGACTATTTAATATAAACTTCCATCTCCCCTACCTCTAAGCACAGGATTGAACTACTGCATGAGTTTAGGCTCACTGCTAACTGTTCCTATTATGCGCTGCTGAGGAAGAACCCACACACAACTGTCCCTCCAGCGGAGTTCAGAGGCTGGAAATGCACGGGAGGAGATGGCCTAACTTGCTCTTTGGAAGCAGCTGGGAGATTTGAACTCCCTGCCTTGGGAGTTGGCAGTGTAACTCCTTAACTCACGAGGCCACCAGGGCCACCAGGGCTCCCTAATCAACTAGAAGGCTTAAATTTTGATATTTAACAAAAAAATATGGAAAGATTATCTTAAGTGTAATGCATTTAAGAGTCAAACACAAGTGAACAGAAGAATGACATTTCCTCAGCTCATTAGAATTCCACTTTCTTCTGAGATAAACACAAAACGTAACATTTCATCTCCCCGCCCCCCCACAGCAGTATCAGCTCACCTGTACTTGACGAACGACATTAGCCAGACGTTTGGCACAAGGATCATCATGTTTAATTGCCTCATGCATTTCTCCGTCTGCAATTATTTTGAATATTTTGGGCAGATTGGTATTGTTTG